ATATAACTAGTTGTTCTGGGCCGTCGTCTTAAGTGCAATGAATATGTTTCCATGATAAGATTTTGGTAGATGATCTGACCTGTAGATTTACGATATTTGAAATGAATAACCAATGTATGTAAATGTTTATTTACAAACAGCAGCCCCCAGAGTCTCCTACTGGTAAAGTCTCCTAATAGTAAAGTTTGTGCAGTATCCCAGTGTAATTTGTTTACCTATGAAATAGAAATTATGTTTGAGTTTGAGCACATGTAGTATGACGCTGCACTTAAGGCACCGTTTTGCTTAAACTCAATATTTACAATGTTCACACCGCATTAGTGCTTTCAGCTAATCAATACTGTTTACGCAACTACTGCAATGTTCAAATTCTATTAAATTGAGATTGGGAAATAATTCGGTACTAACAGGTGTAGACTGGAAACTGAAACTGACTAAATACGACATCTAAACAAACACTGTATATTATAACATTCAAGTTAAGGACTGTTACTGGGCTACATTTTAATTTAGTAATAAGAGTATTCTTTATTATTCCGTCTATACATTTTTTGCATACTCAAAAGCAAGGAGAAAGGTAGGAACGTCTAGGGTTGGGTAAAAGAAATTTTTTCTGTGTTTATGACAAAAGAAGAGAAAGGACAAAGCGAGAGTCGTGCTCATCTTTGTATAAGTCCTTTGTGACGAGTGTGTTTTAATGTGCAATGAAAAATATTTAGTTTAGTGCATATTCGAGCATGGAATAGAACAAGGAACTACGATATGGAAAAAGTTTCCACTTGTAAGTGTCAACAGAGATGATTAACACTTGAATCTGGATGAGTGAGAACAGTACAAGTTACAATGCATAAGAAACAGATTTGCAGATGGGCCATGACAAGTGAGGTATTCTCTTAAAACCGCTATTACTGTAAAAAACTGTAAAAAATCCGTCAATGATGTTGATGCTGACAATATTGGTGATAATAAGGAAGTGTCATTAGGTTTCGTTTATACTAGTTTTAAGGTACCAATACAACATATTGGACGGCATCCCCACACGGCATAGAAATATTGCCATCGAGAAGTTTTTTGACTTAATCAATAATATTATAGCTGTGAAGTCTCTTCAGTTTGAACGGTCACTAGTTAGTTATTATGATATTATAAAGTGATTTAAGCTAATCGTTGTAATAAGTACAAAATAAAAAAGTGTGATGTGAAGTTCATTTATATACTATATTTTATATTAAGTTATAAGTAATAGGTAACTGGACCAAGGCCTGATTGAGAGCCTTGAAATTAGTTGATTATTTAGTTTTAGATGAAACTTTTCAGTAACGAATTTCGATGTCTACTGTTTAAAATACATGTGGGGCTGAAGTAAGTTTAACAAAAAAATCCGTACGTACCTAACAATACCTTAGTCATTATTGCGTTTAAAATAATTTGTTAATTTAAATTTATTTGCAAAAACTTTATAAGTTCTCCGTATTAACTAGTTCAACAACCGATTTTAAAACTTAGTTTTCGTAAATTGACTTTCCCGAAGGTGACTTTTAAATTGAAAATCTATCGCTGTAAGTTTATATGGTAATCTCATTTACAAAAATATTGAATTTAAAATTAAACAAATTAAATATGTGAAGGTAAAGTTTAAATTGAAACAAAAAGGTTGAATACCTGTCCTTGGACTTTTTCAGTAAAAGCAACGACAAAAAGGTGTTGTTGCACGAAATTGTGCGTTATTTGATCGTGTACATTCGCTTCGCTTTAAAAGAACAAAAGATCGGAGAAGGTTTGAACGGTAAAATAAGAACTGAAACCCCGTTTTAACTCTGTTTAAGGTTTGGGCAGTTGGCAACGATGATAGAGAAAATGTTTTAAACGACTCTGACTCAGATTTCGAAACTCCTCCGGGTGTGATCAATACATTTCGCAGATTGTGGATATTAATGGACATTCGCTTCGGCTGCCAACTTCAGCGCTACAGCATTACGCAAAGCTGCACCAGCACCGCCGAAACCTCCGCCATAAGATCTGCTCAATAAAATAAGAGAACTCATAGTTAGGCTTGAGTTATTTAATATTCAAAAGAAGCTCTAGAGGATTTCCGGGAATTAATACGACTCTTTTGCAAGGAATGCTTTATATTGGAAATAAAGGACAATACTACTCCCGAATTGTTAGAGCCAAGGACAATGCACAATATTTTCTTTTATTAATTCTATTAATTTTTTTTTATTGACAGCCGTCTTCTGTCCCTCTCCCACAATGTATACTCGACTTTCTACTACCTCCGTCTCCTTCTACCGACTTTTGCGATATCGACGGACGCACTTACATAAACGAATCTGTGTCACTGAAATGAGCCAAGTACTGCAATACGTGCAGCGGTGCTGTTAATGTGCGGCGCGAGGTAGCGCGGCTCCCGCGCCTAAGATATGCGGCAAGAGACATGGCGTAGATACGGCGCGGATGGGGCACGGATGAGGCACAGACGGGGCGCGGTTGAAGCGCAAACGGACCGCGGACACAACGCGTATGCTGCGGCGGTGCTGGTGAGCACGTACCTGGTGGTGCGGCGAATGGAGCGACGGCGTGCGTGCAGCGCGATGAGCCCCTCGCCTCGCGCGGCTTTAGCTGCGAACCATCGCCAAATGCCCGACTATAGTTGGCCTCGCCGCCCTTTCGACTCCCGAACACATGGGCCCGAACGAGCGAGACTCGCCGGCGTCGCGTTCAACCGCCGTATACGTACGTAGCAATGTAGTTGACGCGACCGCGGCAGTCGCGCGTTTAATCCTACAGCGAGGTGCGAGGTCGATGCGACGGCGAGGGCGGCGAAGGCAACTCGCGCATGACTGGGAGGCTCGGCGCGACGGCGCGGGCCCACCGCGCGCCCTCGCCCACGATCGATAAGTTGCACGCAAGCTCGCTGCTAGTACCCTACCCTAACCCAAATCCAACACGCGCTAATATAAAACCTTCTTTATTTATATGATTACGTTAGATCGACGTCATAACGGAAATTGGGCGCGGGCGCCGGTAGCGCGCCGCCCTTTAGCCTACGCGCCGCCCGCACCACCACCGCCCGCACCTCGTGCACGTTGCAGCTGCAGTGTGCACTGGGATACCACCCCCTTCGCACATGCTCCGGTAACTTCGCGTCCATCTATGTAATGATGCGTGTCTAAACTTTACTATGATTTAAAAAACATTTCATATTCTTAAATTAATCCTAATCATTAAAAGATGATTGCTTATACTATTTAACGTTGTAAAATACGTCACTTAATCTTTAATAAATTACAATGATTTTATTACTAATAAAAAACATGTAAATAAAGGACATAATAAATCTTATAAAATACACATAGAAACTTAGAACCAAAAATTTATTAAGGGACGATAGTACCCCATCAATATAAATTTTACTTTTACATTTACTTTTATTTTTATCCTCTCGTAACTGTAAAAACACAGCTGCCGAGAGGTCCAATTTTTTTTCAATTATATTTCAACGTTTATAATGAAATGCCAACACTATATTTTTCAAATAAAATCTGAACGTTTAAAATTTTATTTTATTTTAAAAAATTTGGTCAATTGTTTCAATTTAATCAATTAATTTTGCATTTCGCTTTGAAATCAAACAATTCAATCAAATAATTTCAAGAACGACTTTCGACGAGGCACCCTGCAGCGCAAACGACTCAAAACATTAACGACGTGTGTAGAACTAATTACAACTAACGAACGCTCGCTTTTGGTTTGCCTGATTATGCAGTGGAAATTTTAATAAGCCAAATAACCAGAGATATGAATTTCGAACTCCTGTTGAAGCCGATCCAACGCAAACTCTGAAGGAACGCAGCATGGTTTCATGTAGCTATAGCCATAATAGTACCAATTTGCGTTAAATTAGTAAAATAAAAAAGCATTAACATACGTTGGTGCTTGCATATTATATATGTAGATATAGGGAAGCTCACACAAGAATCTTACCCACACTAATATTGTTAGTAAAGGTTTAGTGGTCTAACCGCAGAATAATCAACAATAACTTTGTTAGATCTAGTTATCCCTGAGCGCAGATCACACTGTGAAAAAATGCGGACGATGAGGCAACACTTGCTAGTCAACGGATTTTCACTGCTACTCCTACACAACAATGCCAAAGCGCGTGCCAAATAAATAATTTGCATCTTACAGGAGTTGCTCTTCGTCATTGTACAGGTTCAACCGAACTGCATTTTTTATTTTATTATTGACTACCATTTTTACCGCAATCACAAGGAAAACAATTGCGTTGCGATGCAGTCGAAAATCGTCTCCACAATTCTGTCGCATAGTCCAGCGTGTTGACAACATAAATGAATATCGAGTTCTTGGGTTTTCGCCATTGTTATACATAGGAAATGAAACTAATTTTCAAACAAACCAACGTTTTGGGCCCTTTACAGGTCCTATGGTCGTCAACCGTGACCATGGGACCTGTAAACGGCCTGAAACGTTGATTTGTCTAAAAAAGCAAATATACGCGATTTAAATCAGGAAAAATAGTTTTATTTCATAAACAGAAATGCAGATTCTATATATATATATATATATATATATATATATATATATATATAT